TAGTAGCGATCGCGGCCGCACCAATGGAAACTCAGGGCGCCCTATTTAAATCGGCCCTGTGCCATTTCCTCAAAGTTGCCGCAAGGTCATGTTTTCCTGTTCCTGTGTTCCTGCTAGTTACGTTTTCCTTGTTGCCCAAAACTCTGCCTGTTTCTGATTACGCTGACCCTCTCTCTGCTCTGACCCCGGCTCGTGCCTGACCATCCCTCTGACTGACTTCTCAGTACCACGCTTGCCCGTCTTACCTTCTGCTGAACCCTGGCTTGTTGACCCGACGACCATCCTCCCGCATTGCTACCAATCTGTCACCTACGCATGCCCGCATTCCATCCCCACCCTCAGGGGCACAGGTGAAAAGGCAAAGGACTGGGAACGATAGACTCCGCGTCCTGGGGAACCACGTGGGCCGTGGACCACTAGAGATCCCTGGCTGGGTCGGATGCCTATTAGGACATGACCCCTGTGCGGGGGCTAGGACAGGGATAGAAGAGGAGGAGGATGTAGAGGAGGACATTTTTGCTCAGGAATATATTGAGTGAAAATGGGTGGTTTTTTTTCCACACAGCGGAGGCGGCCAGGGGAGTGGAGGAGCAGGAGCATTCTGGTAGAGGAGGAGGAGGAGGAGACAGTGGACCCAGACCTCACGTGGCAGTGCAGGTATGCTGTGGAGTGGAGGCAGGGAGGTCCCTCGCATTCCTTGGCACAAATGGCCCCATTGCATGACGCGGTTGCTTGCGTTAGCGTCAGCCGAATAATAAACCATTCAGACAAGAAGGGATGACTCTGTTGGCTGTCCACCTTGGTGGACCCTCGCTACCGTCAAAAAATGGTGGCCGTTTTCCAAACACCTGGCTGAGAGGGAGGCCAAAATAAAACTTTTAAATAACCACCTATGTAGTCAGTTGGTCTCTTGCCTTTGTGCTGCCTAACGTCCCATCCTCAGACCACTCGGTGGGCGCCGTGTGCGCTCGCGTTCCTCTCCATGGCAGCAAGGGGAGGGGTGGGTTTGGCAAGGAGCAGTGGTTTGCTCCCACACCAGCAGCGGCTGCCTCAGTCTGCAGTCGATGATTAAGGTAAGCTTTCTTCAACCGAGCGCAGTGAGGGAAACTACTAAACGCCAGCGAGCAGCAGCAGCCAGCATCATGGTGGACCCCCCCCCCCCCCCCCCCCCCCCCCCCCCACCCTTGGAGCAGGAACCGGTCAAAACAAACATGGCTTGGGCCTACTTGGACAGCTACCCTGCCAAACCGAAGGTAAGACAATTCCCCTTGACTACTGGGGCATACGAAACTTGACCTTCTTGGCCCCAGGGGCGAGGGGGGGATTTGCGGGGTGGGGGGGATATGGGATGTCTTGGGGGGGGGGGGGCCCGTGGGGGGTGGGGGGGGAGGGGTGAGGGGGGGAGGTGCGGGCATGGCTGGTATTGGTTACATAGGGACGACGAGGGGGGGGGGGGGGGGCCGGATGACGACGGGGTAGGGGCGCGAGGGGGGGGGCAAAAGGTACCGGGGAGGTGGGGTCAGAAGCGGGGTGGGGGGGGGGTGGGTGAATAGGGGTGTGGGCTGGGGGGGGGGGGGGGGCTGGGTGTTGTCGGGTATTGGGGTTAACACTTGAGGGGACCGGAGGATACTTCTGGGGGGGGGGGGGGGGGGGGGGTGATGGTGGGGGGGGGGGGGGGCGGGGGGCCTGGGGGGGGGGGGGGGGGGGGGAGACACGTACTGAGGGCATATTACAATTGGGGGGGTGGTCCATGGGTTGGTAATGAGGGGGGTAGAGACGCACGTGTGCCTGAATATGATGCATGCCCTGGCCCCGTATCTAGTCCTGGGGCCCCTTCAAACCGACCATCCGCCTGACACATGCGGACAAAATCCGCACATGTATCATGCCCCTGCCTATGTGGCACTTTCAGTGCATGGGCGCGCTCCACACGGGGGGGGGGTGCCATGGGGGTTTGTCATTATGGTGGGCCTGGGCAGGATTATACGGGCCTGCCCGATAGCTGCTGGCCAGCCCCAATCTAGCTGCGAGTGTGGGCCACTTTAGACCGCCTCCTATGCTGCTTGGCCAGGTCCACAGTATCTCATGCCATGTGCCACTTTCAGGTCTCCTCACACTGCTGGTGTGTTCAATTTTTTGACAAAGGGTGCTGGGCAATTATCGGGCCTCCCCTAGCTGCTGCCAGGCCCTAAACTGACCATGGCCCCTATATCGCCTCCCTATGCTGCGCCGAGGTCCAAGTCCGCTCCATGGAGTCCCTGTACGGCCTCCCATTGCTGATGTCCTCCATCGGCCACAACACGCTCTGCCATGTGGCCACTATTTCAGGTATCTCCTCACACACGTGCTGGTTCTGTGTTCAAAATTATTTTGACATTGGGTTGCTAGGCAGTTTTACGGGGCCTCACATTTGCTTGCGCCTGACCAGGCCCCTACTAAATCTGCCATGGGCCCCTATAACTGCATCCACAGTGCTGCTGCCAGTGGTCCCCACAGTGTCTTCATTTGCCATGTGCCACTTTCAAGTCTCCTCACACTGCTCGGAGTGTTCCATTTTTTGTCATTTGGGTGCTGGCAGATGAAACGGGAGGCCTCCTATAGCTGCCTTGCCAGGCCCCTATTATGCCATGGGCACCGTATACCACCTCCTCATGCTGCTTGCCAAGTCCCAGAGTCTGCTCATGGGTCCCAGTACTGCCTTCCCATTGCTGCTTCTGTCTCCATCTCCACACTCGTTTCCATGTGCCACTTTTCAGGTCTCCTCACACTGCTTGGTGTGTTCCATTTTTTGTCATAGGGTGCTGGATGAGATTACGGGCGCCTCCTATAGCAGCTGTCCAGGCCCCCTAATCGTGCCTATGGGACCCTGTACCGCCCTCCTCATGCTGTGCAGCCAGGTCCCACAGTTGTCTAATGCTCCATGGTGCCACTTTCAGGTCTCTCCTCACTACACAATGGTGGTGTTGGTAAAATTTTTTGACATAGAGGGTGCTGGGCAGATATTACGGGCCTCCCATAGCTGCTTGCCAGGACCCCTAATCATGCCATGGGGCCCCTTTATACCCGCCTCTACTCCATGGTGCAGCCAAGTTCCCAAGTGTCCTGGTCATGGTGTCCCTGTACGGCCCTCTCCCATTGACTGCTGGTCTCCATTTCGCCACACCGCTAATGCATGTGCCACCTTTCAGAGTCACTCACAACACACGGGGTGGCGGGGGTGTGTTGTTGATCAATTTGTGGACATAGGCGGTGGGGGGCGTGGGGGGCGCAGTTTTACGGCCTCCCATAGCTGCTGGCCAGGACCCCCCTTATCTGCCCATGTGGCACCTGTTCCCGCCTCCTCATTGGCTGCCTGCCAGGTTTTCCACAGTGGTCCTCATGCCATGTGCCACATTCAGGTCTCCCTCACACGCTGCTGTGAGTTCCCATTGGTTGTCCAATAGGGAGCTGGCAGATTAACGGGCCTCACTCTATTTAGCTGCTTAATGGCTAGCCAAGGCCCCTAATCTGCCTTGGGGGCCAACCTGTACCGACCTCCGCATCCATGCTGCTGCCAGGTCCACAGTGTCCTCATGCCATTGTGCCCACTGTTCAGGTTCTCCTCTCACACTGCTGTTGGGTTCTTGTTGTTTGGGTCCAGTGGGTGGCTGGGCAGAATTATGAGCCTCCCCATAGACTGTCTGCCTGGCCCCCTAATCTGATGACAATGAGACCCCTATACCACCGAGCCTCGCTCATGAGCTGCTAGCCAAGTCCTGAGTCTCTCATGGAGGTCACTGTACGGCCTCCCCATTGCTGCTGTCTCCATCGTCACACAGCTATGCGCGCAGTGAGAGTGCCCCTTTCCAGGTCTTCTCACACACGCTGCTCGGGTGTTTCCAGTTTTATATTGGACTTAGGGGGTGCTGGGCAGATTACCGGGGCCTCCCTTAGCTGCTGCCAGCCCCTATTCTGCCATGGGGTCCTCACCGTGATACCGCAGCCCTCCTCATGCGGCCGCTGCCAATGTCACCAAGAGTCTTGTCCATGGGTCCCTAGTACGGCCTCCAGTGATGCATGTGCTCTCCCTGCGTCCACACTCCTGCCTTGGGCCACTTTCCAGTCTCTCCTCACCACTACTGGCTGGTGCGTGTTTCAAATTTTTTTGACATAGGGTGCTGTGGCAGATTACGGGCCTCCCCATAGCATGCGAGTGCCAAGGCACCCCAGTTTACACACAGCCAATCGGGCCCCTATATATTCCGGCACCTTCCTCATCGCTGCTGCCACAAAGGCTCCAGAGTCTGTTCATGGGATCCCTTGTACGGCCGTTCCATTGCCTGCTGTCTCCTTCGCCCCCCCCCCCCCCCCCCGCCCCCCCCCCCCCCCCCCCCCCCGGCCTACTCACCTCCCCAAACCCCTCCCCCCCCCCCGTGCCACTATCAAGGTCTACTCACACAACTGCAGGTAGTGTTCAAATTTTTTGACATAGGGTGCAGGCAGATTTTCGGGGCCTCCCATAGCTGCTGCCAGGGCCGCCTAATCTGCCATTGGCCCACTGTAACCCGCCTCCTTCTATGTCAGGCTGTGCTGCCCAGGTCCACAGATAGTCTCATGCCATGTGTGCCACTTTCAGGTTCTCCTACACACTGCTGGTGTGTGTTTCCATTTTTAGTCAATGAGGGTGCTGGCAGATTACGGCCAGGCCCCTATCCTATAGCCTGCTGCTGCAGGCCCCTAAATGCTGTGCCATGGGCCCCTATAAAGACCGCCTCTCCTCATGCTGCTGCCAAGTCCCATGGAGTCTGCCTCATGGGTCCCCGTGTATGGGTACCAGTACGGCCTTCCTCCATTGCTGCTGTCTCCATCCGCCACACTCTGCCATGTGTCCCGACTTTCAGGTCTCCTCACACATGCTGCTGGTGTGTTCAATTTTTTGACATAGGGGTGCTGGCAGATTACGGGACCTACCATAGCTGCTGCCAGGCCCCTAATCTGCCATGGGCCCCTATACCACCTCCTCATGCTGCTGCCAAAGTCCAGAGTCTCTCATGGGTCCCTGTACGGCCTCCCATTGCTGCTGTCTCCATCGCCACACTCTGCCATTGTGCCACTTTCAGGGTCTCCTCACACACTGCTGGTGTGTTCAATTTTTTGACATAGGGTGCTGGCAGATTACAGGCCTCCCATATCTGCTGCCAGGCCCCTAATCTGCCATGGGCCCCTGTACCGCCTCCTCATGTGGCTGCCAGGGGGTCCACAGTGTCTCATGCCATGTGCCACTTTCAGGTCTCCTCACACTGCTGGTGTGTTTCAATTTTTTGACATAGGGTGCTGGCAGATTACGGGCCTCCCATATAGCTGCTGCCAGAGGCCCTAATCTGCCATGGGCCCCATTTATACCGCCGTCCTCATGCTGCTGCCAAGTCCAGAGTCTGTCATGGGTCCTTGTACGGCCTCCCATTGTGCTGTCTCTCATCGCCACACTCTGCCATGTGCCACTTTCAGGTCTCCTCACACACTGCTGGTGTGTTTCCATTTTTGTCATATGGTGCTGGCAGATTTACGGGCCTCCCATTGCTGCTGCCAGGCCCGTAATCTGCCATGGGCCCCCTGTACCGCCTCTTCATGCTGCTGCCAGGTCCAGAGTGTGTCATGGGTCCTGTACGGCCTCCCATTGCTGCTGTCTCCATCGCCACACTCTGCATGTGCCTTTCAATGATCTCCTCACACTGCTGGTGTGTTACATTTTTTGTCATTAGGGTGCTGGCAGATTACGGGCCTCCCATTGCTGCTGCCAGGCCGTAATCTGCCATGGGCCCCACGTACCGACTCCTCATGCTGTGACGTTGCAACAAGGTGGATTCAAACCCTACATATGTTAGAACCGCCTTTTCGAACAGCAAAAGGCCATCACACATTTCTGATGTTAAAAGCGGATAAAGGTACTCCCTGTGTAACTTAGATGTCAGCCATTGGCAGCTCATGCGTGAACGACCTGCGCTTGCTCAGGCCCTTTGAGGAGGACGGCCACGCTATTCGTGAGTCGGCAGGACTATGGGGTCGGTCTGTGAACGACGTCATTCCTCTGTTGCACGTCCTGGAACAAATGCTGGTTAACAATGGCTGGTCAGGGTGCGGTAGCCGTGGCGCACAGATCTCAACGCACATGACCCCTGTGGGGGCAGGACAGGAAGACAGAGGAGGAGAGTAGAGGAGGACATTGGTGCTCAGGAATTTATTGAGTGAAATGGGTGGTTTTTTCCACTCAGCGGACAGGAGTGGAGGAGCAGGAGCATCTGGTAGAGGAGGAGGAAGAGGAGACAGAGGACCCAGAGGCACCGTGGCAGTATGCTGAGTGGCTGTGGAGATGGAGGCAGGGAGTCCCTCGCATTCCTTGGCACAAATGGCCATAGCATGCTCGCTTGCTTGCGTACCGACAGCGAATAATAAACCATCAGACAGAGGGATGACTCTTTTGGCTGTCCACCTTGTTGGACCCTCGCTACCGTTCAAAAATGGTGGCCTTTTTCACACCTGCTGAGAGGGAGGCCAAAATAACGTACTATAAAAACCACCCATGTAGTCAGCTGGTCTCTGGCTGTCTGCGCCAACGTCCATCCTCAGACACTGTGGGCCCTGTGCGCTCGCGTTCCGCTGCCATGGCAGCAGGGGAGGGGGTGGGGTGGTAGGAGCAGTGGCAGCTCCACCAGCAGCAGCTGCCTCAGTCTGCAGTCGATGATGAGTAGCTTTCTTCACCAGCGCAGTGAGGAAACTACTAACCAGCCGCAGCGTAGCAGAGAGCAGCAGCAGCAGCAGCGCAGCAGCAGCAGCATCAGGTGGACCTGGAGCAGGACCTCAAACAACAGGCTTAGGCCTACTTGGACAGCACCCTGCCAACCGAGGTAGACAATCCCCTTGACTACTGGGCAACGAAACTTGACCTTTGGCCCAACTAGCTGAATTTGCCCTTGAAAGGCTGTCATGCCAGGCCAGTAGCGTGGCAATCGGAGCGCGTGTTTAGTGCGGCAGGAGGTATTGCAACTCCGCGGAGGACACGACTGTCCACCCAAAGTGTGGAGAGACTCACGTTTGTGAAAATGAATCAGGCGTGGATTAGTCTTGGATTTCAAACCACCAGTTTTTGACACAACTGACTGAAATCCACCATGAATCATGCCCCAAAACATGTGCCACTTTCAGGTCTCCTCACACTGCTGGGCGGCGGTGTGTTCCATTTTTTGTCATAGGGTGCTGGCAGATTACGGGCCTCCCATAGCTGCTGCCAGGCCCCTAATCTGCCATGGGCCCCTATACCGCCTCTCATGCTGCTGCCAAGTCCAGATTCTCTCATGGGTCCCTGTACGGCCTCCATTGCTGCTGTCTCCATCGCCACACTCTGCCATGTGCCACTTTCAGGTCTACTCACACTGCTGGTGTGTTCAATTTTTTTGTCATAGGGTGCTGGCAGATTATGGGCCTCCCATAGCTGCTGCCAGGCCCCTAATCTGCCATGGGCCCCTATACCGCCTCCTCATGCTGCTGCCAGGTCCAGAGTCTCTCATGGGTCCCTGTACGGCCTCCCATTGCTGCTGTCTCCATCGCCACACTCTCTGCCATGTGCCACTTTCAGGTCTCCTCACACTGCTGGTGTGTTCCATTTTTTGTCATAGGGTGCTGGCAGATTTCGGGCCTCCCATAGCTGCTGCCAGGCCCCTAATCTGCCATGGGCCCCCGTACCGACTCCTCATGCTGCTTGCCAGGCCCGTAATCTGGCATGGGCCCCTGTACCCACCTCTCCTCATGCTGCTGCCAGGTCCAGAGTGTGTCATGGGTCCCTGTACGGCCTCCATTGCTGCTGTCTCCATCGCCCACACTCTGCCATGTGCCACTTTCAGGTCTCCTCACACTGCTGGTGGTTTCCATTTTTGTCATAGGGTGCTGTATGGCCTCCCATTGCTGCTGCCTCCACCGCCACACTGTGGCTCCACACTCTGGTTTTGGCCCCGTGACTGCCCAAATGAGTGAAGTGTGCGGTGATTCTAAGATCGACGGCACTCATCTGCATGTCATACTGACTGTCAGTATTATTTCTCTTCCCCAGCAGACTCCAAGGGCATTTAAATTAAAGGTACAGTGTTCTGCACTATATAAAGGCTCTCTGAAGCCTAGAAACACCCTTTTATAAGTTAAATTCGCAGCGAATATATTCGACTCGAATCAAAATTTTTTCCACGAATTCGCCGAATCAGTCGAATCGAATTTTTGAATACTTCGCTCATCTCTAGTCATATCCATATCCTCACTCAATAAAAAGCATAGTCCACCGATCAAACCTCCTTGATCTTATGTTTTTGTCACATATAAAATTATAATTGGCTTAGGCATTTCAATGTCTCCAGAAATTCCCACCCTATCCATGTACCAAGGTTCCATCTCTACAGTCAAAAAAGGCCTCCTTGGCTTTTTCCTATTAGCCCCCAGGGCAGTAATTCTATGACATTGGAAAACCACACATACCCTAAGGGTGAAAAGTAGACTCTGAGCATCACAAAGTAAGACTGTGGCTGTACAGCCTCACCTGCACATAGAAGTTTGACAGGAAAAGCAGGGACGAGTGTGCATTTTGGGTCCATACATCCATCCCTGCATGGCTATCAAACACTTCACACTGCTCCACTTTCATTAACAAACAGATCTTGCACACTGTATGGGCCTCTACACATGCATGAATATGAGCTCTAAAGCCCAATCTCAGCTAATAATCTTTATTTTGTTTTGCATATACCAGTAAAGTTAGAGTCTCTGTCAAATATTTAATGCTGAAATCCAAAATTAGTTGAGGGCAAGATGTTGGATATGAATACAATGCCACTGAAAATGAAGTTCTTAGTGGAGCCAAACTGCTTGGGTATGGCAGCACTCCCACAAACTTGGACAAACCCTTAAAAATAGGGGTATCCAAACTGAATATTTTATATGCAGTTGCCACCAGAAAAAGCTCAAAAACAACTGATCCAAGAGCTCAGAAATATTATTAATTCAGTAAGATGCCTGTTGACCTTTCAATGATCACTTACTGAACTAATTACCGATAATCATTTTTAAACTCTTGGAGCATTTGGCACTCTTTTAGGTGGTCAGTTTCCATTTTTAATGTTGGCTGTTTCCTTCTTATGAACATTTTTCATTTACTACCTGTCAGCAATCAGCACAAAAAAAAACATTTTTCATCAGAGAGGAAGAACTAGAATCTCTTAAATTGCTTTTTTATAGTAGTTATCTCTTGCCCCAGTGACAGCCTTACCCCCCCGTACTGGCACCACAGGAACAGTAAATGGGGGAAAACTCTTATCTAGTCTAATCAAGACTAAAATTAAACTTTGTCAGATTTTTGATATGTGTCTGTTTCTCTGCTGGGGAGATTCACCCTCTCCATTTGCTTTTGTTTCAGTTATCATTGGAACTGAAAGTAAATAAAAATCTAACACTTTGAATTGTAATTTGGTTGAATATAGGGGAACTCTTCTTAAGTAAACAATTATTTCAGTGACTCTTGTCTAAGAGAGCAAGTCTCTTAACTAATATCCATGCACTTCCTGTTGTGGTTAGCGTCAGGAAGTCAAGGAAATGTACCCAATAGGACTAAAACTGTGAGAGGTTTAAACATTTGCTATTCTATTCAAAACTGAAAAAGCTTTAATTTTATAGATACTGTAATGGGGTCACTCAGCAGCGGGTGTGTGTGACCCCCTGGATGGGTGCACAACACAAAAAACACAGTCACAGCACAACAACAGTGGAGGTGAAAAACAAAAAGGTGCAGTTTATTTACAATATGTACAGAAAAACGCCAAACCAAAAAGAAACATCAGATAAACTCCTGGCCAACTTGGCTACTTACTGTACAAACAGCTTCCCTAACTATCCACTAGGTACAGCCTGATGCTATACCTAGTTGCTAGTAGTTGGAGGCTAGCCACACAGGCTTTTGTCTCCCTGCACACAGATAAGATGTTTGCTCCCCAGTCAGTTCAGGCATAGATCTGGTTCCAGGTTGGAGCAACTCCCTAAGCAAGCTGGGAAGTTTTATACCAGCCTTAATGAGCCCACTACCTTCAGCTGGGCTCTATACCTCAGTGCTGAAGGACTCAGCACTTCCCTCTAGAGGAACAAATCCCCATAAAGTCTGAACCTTGGACAAATGTATCATCCATCCAGGATGCAACCAGGTGATTTCACCTGCGTACTGTCACAATACTTTGAGGTGTTTTTTAAAGGAAACCCCTTTTTTTTTTTAGTTTTGCATAGAGTAAGAGTTATGCTGGCCATATATTATACAATTATCTTTCCTTCCACCATGGGTAGAAAGAAAGAAAATTTCTTGATTCCACCATCAACACAGTCAGTGTTGATGGAGTATCCCTTCCCAGCTCTACTGATTTCTTCAAGTAGGTAGCATTTACTGCCAGAAGAACACAATGATCACTGAAAGGCAGCTATAGCCTCTTGGCAGTGATCACATGCAAAAAACCTGACAGTCTGG